ATTGAGAGTCTTGGTTTAGGATTTTATCACCACTCACTGCAACTATTGCAAAAGGTTCAGCTTAGCTTCCATCCTTCAGGCTCTACTGACTGCAGTTCATTCTCTATGCTCTTAGCAAGAGTAGCTTTTCCACTCTGCAAGTCCATAATGTAAGCCCTGCTCAGAACCCTCCAGGGGCTCCCCACTGCCCAGAAGAGAATCAAGTCTTTCAAGGAGAAAACATTCTAATAATATCAACCATATATAATGAGGAACACTGATAAGGGACATAAAATGTATACTGAGAGATTTTATATGCTTATCATTTAGTCTCATACCATTCAACAAAATCAACACGGCAAAAGTGATCCACCTCAAAACAAATAAGCACAAATGATGATTTGACTGAAAGACTATCCCCAGAATGCTATTTCTTAAACACTGAGGGTTTTCTTTTGCTTTTAAAAAACTCTGCCTAGCTCATTTTCATCCAGTTATTCCCATTTTGTTTAGAACCAATTCAGTACATCAAACACACTGAAATAACCTAAAAAACAGTTGAGAGATAATGGAAGCTTAACCACAACTCCAACAATAATTGTGCAAATAATTTGTAAAATGTGTGCATAGTATGCACAAATGTTATATGTAGTTACTTCATATAAACTTGTTTTTCAAAATGTGTAAGGTTATGAAATAGAGATCAGCTATCATGAATTAATGATGAATTAGGAGAACTCCTAAATTCTAGATCTCTACTGTTATTTCTTTTGTAGTTTTATTTATCTTTCTAATTACAAAACCAATTCAAATTTTGACAGAAAAAAAAAAGAAAAGGCAAACAACTGCATACATATACACATACTAGTGATACATAGTGATATATTTTCCTATTAAAGGGTAACTACTTCTAGATCTGATACTCAAAATCAAGTCATATACTGCATACTATTTGAAAACAACTCCATTCAATTTATGTAATCATCCACTGTTTAACATTTAGTGTCAAAAAATTTAATATTTTGTACATATCGGTTTTTACTACTATTCTTTTTCTATCAGTAGAGAGATAAAAGCAGTAAAAACTAGATAAAATTGGTTTGAAATTAAAAAATAAAAGGCTAGGGCAAAGTCCCTCAGAGCTCTGAAAAACAGCTTATAAATTCTTAAAAACACACAATAAATTGTGAAAACACCCTCAACTAATCCCCTACACAACAAAAACAAACCAAAACTGAGTGCCAGGGATATTCATCTTCAAACAAATCAGTATCTTCTGTAGCAGCTTTTGGCCAAATCATCTGCAGCCTTTTGGATTGTGCTGACCTTTAATTAAGAAGTAAACTTTTTCTCAAAATAATGGATTTCCCTCCAAGTGAGGCTTTTGAATAAGACATCAGGATGCATAAGCACCTGAATAAGTACCTACTATGGACAGGAGCATGAACAGATTGGAGACTAATACTCACTGATAAAGAATGTGTTGTTTTGTATAACTTCTGACCAGAATCATAGTAAATTTAATAATTTGAGTCTCCTTTGCTTTTAAGATCACTTTAAAAATACCAGATCTGTCCTATGGTCTCTTTGTCAGTCTTTACACCAACACCACACTGTCTTGACTGTGACTTTAACAGTAAGTCTCAGAATCAGGGAGACTTCCTCCAACTTAGTTATTTTTCAAAGTTGTTTTGGCTATACTAGGTCTTTCACATTTATATGGGAATTTTGGAATTGGTTTGTCAATTTCTACAAGAAAACCTGTAAGAATTTTGATTTGGGGAGACTTGACACCTTAACAATACTGATTTGCCAAATCTACAAAATGGTATCTCTCTCCATGGAGTTAGTTCTTCTTAAGTTCTCTAAGCAATAGCTTGAGGTTTCCAGTGCACAAATTTTTCACATCTATTGTCAGATTTATGTCTTAAGAATTTCAAACCTTTCAAAGTTATTAAAAGTGACATTTGAAAACATGTTCAATCTCCAATTGTTAAGTGAGAATGCATAGACATACAATTGGTTTTTGTACGTTGATGTTTTGTACACTGCCACCAACCCATGCATATATGGGTAACGTATTCAAAATGTGTAAGAGGAAGCCATAGGAAACAATGTTTTCAAAAGATGGTTTGGGAATAATTTGATGTTCACAGGCAAAAAGCAAACAAACATAAACAACCTTCAATCCATACCTCAAATTACTCTATATACAAATTAACTCAGAATTGTCCATAGCCATAAATGTGAATCCTAAAGCAGTAAGACTTCTAGATGAACAAAGACAAAGAAAAAACCTTCATGATCTTGGGCTAAGGAAAGATTTCTTATATATGACAAAAAAGCATTATACATAATAAGTTAATAAATGGGATCTCAAAATTAAAGATTTCTGCTCTCAGTTAAGAGAATGAATACAAGCTACAGAGTTTGAGAAAATACTTGCAAATCATGCATCTGGTAAAGGCCTTGTAACTAGAATATATAAAAAAACTCTCAAAACTCAAATAAAAATGTAAGCTCAGTTTTTAAAAGGGCAAAAGATTTAAGCAGATACTTCATTTAAAAAGATATATACAAGGCAGGGCCGGGGATTTAGCTCAGTGGTTTTGCCGCCTGCTGCGCAAGTGCAAGGACCCAAGTTTGATCACTGGTACCAAAAAAAAAAAAAAAAAGGATATGTACAAGACAATTCTTAGAAGTGCATAGAAAGGTGCTCAACATCGCTAATTATGAAAATGCAAGTTAAATTATGAGAGATCACTACATACATATTAGAATGGGCAAAATTTGTTTTAAAATTTTTATTAGTACACGTTTGCAGTACATAATGACTACATTCATCATGGGGAGTTGGTACATATACAAAACACATCTTAATTCTTCCTCTCCCATCTCTTGGTCCCCTTCTAGTATAGGTATAATTTAAAAGGCTCTTCATACCAAGTGCCAACATGGATGCTGAGGAACTAAAACTCTTCTACACTGCTTCTGGGAAGGTAAAATAGTACAACCTCTTTAGACAATGGTTTGGCAATTTCTTAAGAAGTTAAACATAGGGCCAGGGATTAGCTCAGTGGTTCCACCGCCTGCCTTGCAAGCGCAAGGTCCTGAGTTCAATCCCCGGTACCAAAATAAAGAAGTTAAACATACACCTACCATGTGATTTAGTCACTTCTTCCCTAGCCATTCCCTACCCAAGATAAAAGAAAGAATACACCAACACAAAAATCTATAGTGTTAATATTCACACCAACTTTACACATAAAAGACAAACAGTGAAAACAACCCAAAGGTTTATTAACAAATGGTGGTGTACAAGTTACACCAAGGATGGATTCTCAGAATAATTACTGAGTGCACAAAGCTAAACCAGAAAGAGTATATACTGTATAATTCCATTTATATAAAATTCTAGAGAGTGCAGCACACCAGTATTAACAGAAAAGAGATAAGTAGTTGCAGGCTCAGGCGTTGGCAATAAGGATTAGGCAGGACATGAGGAAACCTGGTAGTGAAAGTCACTTTATTCTCTTGATTGAGATGTTAGTTTCATGAGTATACGCATTTACCTCTAAACTTATAAACTCTGCATTCACTCTAAACTTATTAAATTGTACAATTTAAATATATGCAGTTTATTGTCTGTTAATTATACCTTAGTGAGGCTTTTAAAAACAAACAAACAAACAAACAAACAACAAGGCTGCTTGATGGCAGGACCGCCTTTATAAGGCCAGAGTGCAAAGCTGTGCGATGCCCCGAGCTTCAGAGACTGGTTAACCCCCGCCGCTCCCCTGACTTGCAGGTAGATACTCTGACTAAAGCAGCACTCCACTTCCTCACTCTGTAAGAGAGTAGCTGAGAGGCTGGCTATTTCTAGCATCTCCTCAGGGATCATTCCAGGACACCAGCTAGCCAATTGGGAGGAACTGATCAGGTCACCAGCATAACTCAGCTTCTCAGATGTAAGAGAAATCCAGTACCACAGTCTCAAGAAAATGAAACTTCATAAAACCCAATGATGTAAAATCGTTGAGGCTGCTGCTTAAAACCCAGGCACAGAGATCACGGGGTTGCTACCGCTCATGGATGTCCACAGATGACCTTGGCCCCAAATCATATGCACATTTTGTAAGTATATACATGCATGTATTTTTCTGGGGAAAGGCTATAGTTCTTATCAGACCCCGATAGGGCTCCTTTACTGTAAAAAGACAAAGCGGCTTGGACAAGGACCCACCTACATCCATCTTTTCTCCTCCCTCTTTTAGCTCCCCGAACAAAACCCTGGAGTCACCCATTTGACTTTTCCCGCTGACATTAGATCTGCGAACAATCCAGGTTCTTGGGTACACCAAACCATCACCAACTTCATTTCTTCCCTTTTTTGCTTGGAGCGCAGGCTCCCGGCTGTCCCAGCTCGCTGCTTCCTGCCCACTTTAGAACTCCCAGATGTTTTCAGGTCTCCAGGTGTGTAACTTACCACTTTTTTTTTTTTTTTTCCTTCTCAGGCATGCTGTCCCTACCCCATCTTCCCAGCTGCCCATTCTTCTCATTTACATTCGCCTCAAAGTCCAGAGGGAGGGCCGTTTTGCCCAGACCCCTTCGGGGACCGCCGGACGTGCAACGACACCCTCACAGCCCGCGCAGGTGGCCTCGCAGAAGCGCGCGCACTTCTCCAAAGCGCTGTGCCAGCACAACTTTGCTCTCACTGCCAAACTGGACCTCTCAGAACTGCTTTCCTCTCCAGCTCTCGGAAATCTGAGGTCGGTAGCTCGCTCCCCGGCGAGGGTGACCTGGGAGCCAGCGCGAGCCTGGCCGGCAGCGGAGCCCTTCCCGCCCCTCTGCTCCTGCACGTGTCCCTCCTGCCCGCGTAGCGCCCGCTCCGGCCCCCTGCAACGCACACCGAGTCCTGCCCCTCCGGCTCCTTTTCCAGCCAGGGGAGGAGGAGACCTGTGCGGTCCGGTTCGAGCCTCGGCCCCCTCCGCCGCCCCGCCCGAGCGCACCCGGCTCCCTACCCAGCGTCACCGGCGGCAGGAGCAGTAGCTGTAGCAGCAACGCGGCGAGAGCGTGGACTCGACAGCCCCGGAGCTGCCGCGGGACCATGGCGGTCCGACCCGCAGTGTCCCGCCAGCGTGCCCTGGGCCGGCCGCGGGTGCAATGGCCCGGCCTGGGGAGGTGGCTAGCGCAGCTCTGGGACCGGCCGCCTGCCTGGCGCATTCGCTTTCGCTTTTGCTTTAGCCCCCTGAGGGCTGGGGAGAGGTGCGAAGCGGTGACAGATCCGTGACTCAGCATACCCACTCCTGATTTAGGAGAAGCCACGGCGCTGCTAGGACCCTCGCGCCACTGCTCCTGTCCCCGGTACCCTGCAGACCCAGCGCAGAAAGGCCTGGGGACCTCACCTGTGCAAGCCCGGGGCCCTCCTCTTCGCTTCTTGCTCTGGGGACTCCCAGACAGGTCGAGCGGTGTCGCCCCCCGCAGAGACAATGGGCGAAGCAGTCGGAGGCCAAGGTTTCTAGTCCACTGTGTTGTTCGATGTTTACACTAGACTTCAGCCCCGCTCTCTAGAGCCTCGTCCAGGACGCCTGGAACTTTTGTAAGTTTCCTGCGCTCAGCGTCGGCGTCGTGGGTGAGCGCGGAGGTATTGCCGCGCGGTGTGGCCGCCGCGGGAAGCGGACAGTTCGTCCGGGTCACCTGCACTATGTGCTCTTGGGTTAATGCACAGCCCCGGCTACCCGCTTGCTTCCGAGGTGGTGGCGAACCGCGCCTGCTCCAGCCCTGTCCAGGTTACCTTGCCTTGTTCCTGCTGCCTCTTTCATCCCCAAGAAAAGGTCAAATATTTGAAGGGCAGAAAGCGGAGAAGGAAGAGAAGAATGGACAGTCAATCGCTGCGCCTCGTTTCGTTTCCCTCGGCGAGCTCTCCGGGTCTACCAACCTCCTCCACTGCGGGTGGGTGTTATCGTTCTTGAAATCCCAAATCAAGCTTCTCTTTACGGAGAACCAGATCTGAACTGGGAAAACTCCGGATGCGGAGTCGGAAATGCCCAGGTGGATGAGTGGAGTTGAGGGAGACAGACACCCCAGCGCTTCAGTCTGCAGCTTCCTAAATAAAATCCCTGGGTTATTTGAGGCTTTGAGGGAAGAAACACGCACAAATTCTCTTTGAATTAAGTAGTGTATGAATTGAAGTTTTCCTCCACGTGGGAAAAGGGGAAGACTTTCCTCTGCTTGCTCCTTTTACCCTAAAAAGTTTAAAATCGATGTGATAAGTGCAAAATATGCACAGAAAAGGAATTCAAAGGACTGGAAACCACATGTGGTCCCAGCTTCTAAGTATAGTCAATGTTAACGTTTCATGTACTTCAGACTCATAAAAGCTCCTTTTCTTGTGGCCATTTTCAGATATCAAAAGTAGAGTGTAATGAACACCAGGTGCTCATCACCCAGCCTGGGGTGATCACAGGAAGACCGCTCATTCATCTTAGCAGGAATAGTTCTGTGCCTCCAACTGGGGCAACCGCAGTGCCAGTGTATTTCCTCCCCGAGCATATGTCTAAGACTGGGAAGGTTGAATAAAAATTTTATTGGATACATGCAGAGCATACAACATGTGACACCTTTTTAGATTTTATGAACCTCTATAAAGTAGGGATTTCCATATTATTACAAATTTTAACTGCACCAAATTACCATTGTTTAACTTTCCTCTCTTATTTCAATATTAAAACAACACTGTAGCCAATATTTTTGTATGAAACACACCTTGTGAATTTAAGATTGTTGGATAGATTTCTTAAATGGCTTCCGCAGGCAGTGTCTATAATCCGGGAGTGACTGGGGTAACACTTTGTTCTGAGGCGTCTATTAAGGACCCACACTGGGGTGGGGCATTTGCTCATCAGTTAACACTTGTAGCAGAACTGGAGGTGGGGACCAGGCCCTGGGGTCAGGAAAGGCAAGGCCTAGTAGTAGGGCCTGCAGCCTTAGGCTCATTGGCAAGGGGCAGCTAGGCCCTCAGGACTGGGGAGGGAACCAGGCAGAAAGTAGGTCAGACAGGGCCACCAAGAAAGGGAAGGAAGAGATGTGACTCAAGAGTAAGGGCCTTACTTTTTTCTCCTTCTTCTTTGTGATGTCAGCTTTCTGTCACTGTACAAAACACCTGAGATAAAACAATGTAAAAGGAAGAAAGATTTATTTTGTCTCATGTTTCAGAAGTTTCAGTCCATGGTCACTTGGCCATTGTTTTGGGCCTGTGGTAAGGCTTAACACCATGGCAGGAAGGTGTAGAGGAGCAAAGCTGTTCACCTCATGGTGTCCAGGAAGCAGAGAGAGAAGAGGAGGGGCCTAAAACCCAATATCCCTTTGAAGGACAAGCCTCTTGTGATGTAACTTCCTTCTATGAGGGCCCATCTCTTAAAGGTTCTACCAGCTCCCATCAGCACCATCAGCTACAGAACAAACCTTCATACCATGAGCTTTTGGAGCTGGGCAGTAAGCCTAGTATCAGGAGGCTAAGGTAAGAGGATTGTTGGGAGTTCAAAGCCAAGCTGGGCTACATAGTGAGTTCAAGGCCAGCCTGAATTACATAGCAAGACCTTGTCTCAAAAAAATGAACTGGGGGGGCACATATGATCCAAACCACAATATTCTTTATAACCTTAAATTTTTAAATTGAGTTATAAATCATTTGACGAGTCACCATTTTAAAGTGAACATTTCCATTATTTTTTAGTATTTTCACAGTACTGTGTAACCATGGTTACTAATTCCTGAATATTTTCATCACCCGCCCCCAAGAATATCAGTAACTATTAGTAATCACTCCAAATCTCCCTTCCTCTCAACTCTGGTAACCTCCAGTTTATTTTGTATCTCTATGAATTTGCCTATTCTGAATATAATTATGTAATACATCCTTTTTTGCCTAACTTTTTTTTCTCAGTATATTTTCAAGATCCATCCATGTTGTAACATATATCTAGACTTCATTTTTTAGGTCAAAATAAAATTCCATTAAATTTCCCCCTATTTATTCACCAGTTGATGGATATTTTGGTTATTTTCATTTTGGGGGTGTTATGAATGTAACTACTATGAACATTCAAGTACAAGCCTTTGTGTGAAAACACATTTTCTTGGGCACATACTAAGGAGTGGAATTGATGGGTCCTAAGGTTATTCTAAGATGTTTGTAGGCCAGCAGGAAAACCTAGGGTGCCGGACACAGCAGGTCTTCTGTGTGGGGTGATGCATTTCTAATCATAACATCTTTAGCTCTGAAGATACAGAGTTAGAGTAGCAAGACAGAGTCTGTAGCAGCCTGCATAATGGGATCTCGCTGATGCAGCTAGGCTAGGGAGCCCAAGGCAGTGAAAATGAGGTGAGACGAATGAGAAGGAAACAAGTCCACTCACAGAATAGTTTTCTTAACAGCAGGAAAAAAAGAAAATTGGATGTAGAGAATGGAATCACTTCTCAGAAATCAAAAATAAAAAATATCCTATTTCTTTAGTTTTGTTTCTGAGTGCCATACTTGCCAAGATAACAGAAGTTTGAAAGTATTCTTTCCTTTATTCTATTCTCCCTATTTATTCTATTTCCCCTTTTCTTTTGCCTGCTCTGTGCCAAATTATTTTCTTCCCTTTTCTGGATCCTGTCAGGACCCAGGACCCAAGGCCCAGGGAATATGGGAGGGGCCTATTATCTGTGTTGTCTGTATCACTGTGAAGGTCATTGTCTTGACTCACCCCATTTTCTGGTCTCAGCAAGTCCACTCGGCTCTCTTCTAGGCACTCTACCTCCATTCAAAGTACATGTTTTTGGTGCTGGGAATTGAACCCAGGGCCATTGCACAGAGCTACATTCTCAGCACATTTTTTTTAAATCTTGAGACAAGATTTCCCTATGTCACTAAGTTGTGCAAACTGGGCTTGAACTTGCAATCCTCCTGCCTCATCCTTCCAAAATGCTTTTGCAGGGGCTAGTGGGGCACAACTGTAATCACAGCGCTTTAGGGGGCAGAGGGAGGAGGATTGCAAATTCCAGCACAGGTGGGGCAATTTACTGGCTTAGTGAGATCTGTCTCAAAAATTTAAAAAAAGTCTGGGATATAGCTTGGCACAGTCCTCAACACTGAAAAACAAAAACAAAAGCAACAAACAGACAAAGCTTTTGGATGTCTTCCATCATCACAGACAGTGCAAGCAGATTATCTCATTATCCTGAGTCTTCTTCCAAAAAGGCTTATTTGAGCCAGCCTTCCTTGTACCCTGCAATCCAATAAACACATAAACACCAAGCAATTAAATATCTGTGGACTGCATTTGTGGGACACACAGCCTTAGATTCTAGAACACAAAAGCTTGCCTGCTCTCGGGAAAAATTATCTCTTACCTTTTTTTCCTGGGAAGAGTCTTTGCTAGCAAACATTTCCAAGAGACCAATCTATTTCTTGGTAATTTACCAATTATGTGAATTTGGAGGCTTATCATAATTTGATCATTTTTGTAGTTGGAAAAATTAAACTATGAAAAATTAAACTAAATTTAAATATATCCGATTGAAGTGAGTTTCATAACTATTTAAAGTTTCTTTGTCTTTGAACTCAAAAGATGTTTTGGAATTTTACTTTTTAATTTTTGAAAGCACATTCTCTCCGGTTTGGTGTTTTATCAGTTGGAAGTCTCTGGTCTTAGCACTTGTACATACTGAGAAGATAATAATGAACAGAAGTAGCCGGGCATGGTGGCACACACCTGTAATCCCAGCCCTGGAGGCTCAGGCAGGAGGATTGCTGAGAGTTCAAGGCCAGCCTGGGCTACATAGTGAGCTCAAGTTCAGCCTGAACTGCATGGCAAGATCTTGTCTCAGAAAAAAGAAAAAAAAAGAAAAGACAATAATGAATAGATATGTTTGAAAAGCAGCAGTATTGCACTGAAACCCACCCCCCAGTGTGAAACTAGGGGGGATAGTGAGCAAGGGAGGCAGTGGGGGAAATGATTAAAGTATGTTGTGTACATGTACAAATCCATCAAAATGAAACCCATTAGCATAATTGATGTGCATTAATAAAAATGTGGAAAACCCCCTCAGCAGTATTATTCAATTCTCAAACCTCTTCTGAGTCTTCAAGAACAATTGAATTCTTTCCATCTCTCACTTGTCACAGCCCCATTTCTTTGCCACCTGTTACTTCTGTAATTCTTTGTCCCTATCAAGTGGGAGCCCTGTGAATATCTGCTTTTGAGCATGAGATATTGTGGGTGAGAACTATTGGGTAGGAAGGTTTTCATATTTATACATGCTATCAGTAACCATAGGTTCCCCATCAAGGATTCAACCTTGAATCCAAACATTCAGAAAAAAATCCTATCTCTACTGAACATGTACAGACTAT